GATGGGCTATGCTGGGTTTGGGAGCACGGTCAGCAAAGACAATGCCCATGCCCTTCTTTTTTCTGAAATGCGCTGATAGGCTGTCAGACTATTTTCAGAAAATAATATAGCCATTAAGCAGGTCCTGCATTTTCCTTAACGTGAGTATAAATAAATTTATTCATCCTGGGGATCCTGGGACAATTTCCCAAAATTATACAATGATTATAAACATAACTTTAAGGAACCAGCATTTTACTTTATATAAAGTTTAGTGAGTTTTTCAATGCTTTCTTTTCTTTTTTTTTAATGCTTTATTTTCAACTGAACTTTCACAATCTCAATTTATGTGAATAAATTCAGGAATAGCCAATCAATGTCAGAGTCCTTAGGGACAGGGTGACGTGGTGTATGGTCTCCAAAGTTGGGAGTGCATGAAGGCAAAGCATGGAGGTTTAGGAAGAAATGTTAGCACTTCTATTTTTTTAAATAGAATTTGGTCTTTAAATATTTTCTAGTTATTAAATTTTTTATTAAGTGAGAATATTTATACAGCAGTGCACACATAGAACTTCTAATACATACATATATTGGGGGCGTTCCCCCCCTTTTTTTTGAGAGTACTCAATCAAAAAAATTGGAGACCACTGGTATAGTGGAAAGAACACTAATCTGAAGTGGGTGCTAGTCCTAATTCAGGCACCAGCTTGCTGTGTGAACAAGGGTGAGCAGTGAAGAGTCTCTCAGCTTTGGTTTCTGCACCTGTAAATTGAGGGGCCTGGTGTCGACATCTCTGAGATCTCTTCATCTCTGGAAGTCTATGAATAGCTTTGTTCTTACTTGTCCTGTTGTGCTTACTATGTAGTTGTAAGAGCACAAGGTGATATTTTTTTCTGTTCAATACTTGAGTTGGACACAGATGAGTCTATTTCTGAGTTCCCAGGCTATTTCCAGAGTGCTTTCTGTACCCTAACATCCATTCTCTGTGCTGCTCCTGATGATAGATGCGGTGATGTCACACAACAGGATGTTAATTTTAAATCTACTGAATCTAGAGGACATAGCACAGTTAGTAGCAGGGTACAAAAAGATGCCCCTGGATACTGTCACAGACACATGTGTGCACACACAAATCAATCTTTATCTATTGCTTAACTTCATAAGTGCCTTGAAACTCAGAAAGTTTCAAGATTTGAGTACAGAAAGGATATTAGAAGTAGTGTTAACATGTCCATACATACCAAGTTTAGTATCTACTCAGAAACTGAGCTATTAGAGGATTAATTTCAAAACAGAACTAAAAGTCTGAGAGATTCCTAAGCCCTGGTTTAGCTCTTTAAATTCAAAGACATTCAAAATTTACATATTCTATTTAACTCTTGTAAAAAACATTATTCAACCTTAAAATTTGATTAGAGGAAGATGGTGGACTTCAGTGTTGATGGATCATAATGAAATATACTATTGATATTTATTCTGCAAATAAGCAATTACCTTCATTATTACAGTCAGTTCCTTAAAGCTTTGTATTACTTTGATTTAGTTTTGTTTGCTAGCTAATAAAATATGAGGTGGAAATGAATACTAATGTTATGAATCTCTACCATAAAATTCAACTACTCAAAATCAGCTGCTGTCATTTACCCTTGAGAATGGAAAAACCACATTCTGGCATGTTCTGTATAATAATTGCATCAATTTTAATATTTGTACTAAAAGAAAAATGACAGAAAAGGGGACAACAATACAACAAGAAGAGTGACAGTCCACCGTTGTTCTGATGTTAATGAACATGGAAAGATATGAATTCATGAGAATATGATTGTAGGCAGCTAGAACAGGAGTGAAGAGGAAAGAGCAAAACCAGAAAAACAGGAGAGAAATGAGAAAATATGAACATTCTAGAAGAGGAAAAATGAAACTCTTCAGCTCCCTAATCTTATTTTATTTTGTATGATAGTAATGGAAAAAGGAGTGAAGGAAAAGACACTTTAAACTTAGCCTGCATAAGCATGGCGTGTACTCTGCGATCTGCTGAGGGTATAGAATGCAGTCATTCTGCTACTGCCTGGAATAGCCAGCCAGGAACAAATTTCACTAAGGCTTCCAACTGGTAACCAATCCCCAAGCTTACATTTAAGGTTTTAACCTTTAGACTTAATGCTGATCATAGGATTAGAGCTAGATATTCACCCTGGGGAAGACGGGTGATAGTGTGTGAGGAAGAGATTTGCCACTTCCATTGCTCCAGTCAGGAGGTCAAAGGCTACTGCCGGCACCACAGTACCCATAGCCCCTGCGAGCTCCACAATTCCCCGAATTACTGATGTTGCTGGTTAGGCAGAGAATACGTTTCCCTGCATCATTACCTGTCCCTTTAGTAATAAGTATATGTTTGGACTGACTTCCTCTTTTGATCTCTGTGACCCCCTTTGCTTTTCCAAATGATTTTCAAAGATGAACACAGTCAGGTTTGGATGGCATGCATTTGTCACCTTCAACCGGGCAGGTGGCTTTTTCCATTTGCCCCGCTCTCAGTCTTCTTTTTCTTTTCAGAGTTCTTCTAGGCCAGGAGCTTTTATCTTTTTACACTAAACTTTTTATTATAGGTGACACAGTGCTTAAGAGCTTGGCTGCTTTCCAAAGGTCGGCAGTTCAAATCTACCAGGTGCTCCTTGGAAACCCTATGGGACAGTTTTACTCTGTCTTATAGGGTTGCTATGAGTCGAAACCGACTCAATGGCAGTGAGTTTTTTAAACTATAGAATAGTTTTAGATTTATAGAAAAGTTAACATGGACAGCACAGAGTTCCTGTACAGCCAGCACCCAGGTTCCCCTGTTGTTAGAAACCTTCCCTATCGTGTAGAACTGGGGCTGTGAACCTGGAGTGTAGGAGAGACTCCAGTCAGCTCCTGAAGGTTATGCAAAATTTAATACGCTTGCGTGAAAATGCATTTTTTTGAGAGGTTAAGAACTTTAGATTAAGACTATATTTTAGCTTTGTCAGTCCTTTTTCTTTAGGTGTGATCTTCTCTGCTGTCGTGTTTCTCCCCCCAATAGTACATTTTTTGGTTTATTAGAGCATCGCCGTCATTAGCTGCCATTTAGTCAGCCGCTGACTCATAGCGACCCCATGTGTTACAGAGTAAAACTGCTCCGTAGGGTTTTCTTGGCTGTAATCTTTATGGAAGCAGTTTGCCAGGCCTTTCTTCCATAGAGTTGCTGGGTGGGTTTCAACTTTAACTTTAGGTTAATGCCTCATCAAAAACTGTGCCACCCAGGCTCCTATATTAAATACTTCAAAATGCATGCTTGCATGAGAGCGCATAGGCAGATTTTTGTGTATAACAGAACTGACCAAAGGGTTATCACACCCTGTAATTCTCTGGCTCACCCGATGCTATGTGTTCACAGGAAATACATTAATTCTGTTGTTCGATGTAAGCCCAGAGTTCCTTTGAACAGAGGAATCTGTCCACAACACATCACGTGTCTCAATGTGCACACTAAAAGCCCTTGCATCAAAATCGCCTGGGCTCCCGGTTAGAAAATGCAGAATCTTGGGCCTTATTCAGAAAAAAATCTGTATCCTAAACAATCCCCCAAAGGGATTTTGGTGTACAAGGTATCAAAACCATTTATATAGACTGCCTAAATTCCACACCTTAGCTTAACAGCAGAGAAATTTGGGACTGTTATAAAAAGCACTGCTCTTTTCCCTTGAAACGTTGAGGGTGAGGGCGAGGGGAAGCCATGACATTTTTATAGACCTATTTTCCTTTTGTGCCTGTATAGAGTGCAGTGGAGCCCTGGTGGCACAGTGGTTAAGAGCTACAGCTACTAACTAAAAGGTTTGCAGTTCGAATCCACAAGCGGCTCCTTGGAAATCCTATGGAGCAGTTCTATTCTGTCCCCTCGGGTCACTACGAGTCAGAATCCACTCGACAGCAGCAGGTTTTAGAGTGCGCTATCTGAGGTCTTTCTGACTCCCCTGTAGTTCTAAAGATAAAAGATAATTATAGCAGTAGGATCTAGGATTCTGTGAAAGCTCTCTTAAGTAAAAACTTCCACTTATCAGTATTTTGAATATTTTATTTATTTTTTAAAATTTTATTGTGTTTTAGGTGAAAGTTTACAGCGCATATTAGTTTCTCATTCAAAAATTTTATATGCAAATTGTTTTGTGACATTAGTTGCAATCCCTGCATTGTGTCAGCACTCTCCCCCTTTCCCTTTCCTTCACGGGTTGCTCCTATCCATTTGTCCAGGTTTGCTGCCCCTTCCTGCCTTCTCATCTCATCTCTGCTTTTGGCCAGGTATTGACCGTTTGGTCTCATATACTTGATTGAACTAAGAAGCAGGTCCGTCACGTGTGTTATTGTTTGTTTTATAGGCCTGTCTAATCTTTGGCTGAAAGGTGGATTTCAGGAGTGGCTTCAGTTCTGAGTTAGCACGGTGTCCGGGAGCCACAGTCTCAGGGGTTCCTCCAGTCTCTGTCGGACCAGTAAGTCTGGTCTTTTTTTGCAAATTTGAATTTTGTTGTACATTTTTCTCCCACTCTGTCTGGGACCATCTACTGTGATCCCTGTCAGAGCAGTCAGTGGTGGTAGCTGGGCACCATCTACTTCTTCTGAGTTCAGGCTGGTGGAGGCTGTGGTTCATGTGGTGCCTTAGTCCTTTGGACTGATATTTCCCTTGTGTCTTTGGTTTTCTTCATTCTCCTTTGCTCCAAATGTGATGAGACCAATAGATGTATCTTAGATGGCCACTTGCAAGCTTTTAAGACCCCAGTTGCTGTTCACCAAAGTAGGATATAGAACATTTTCTTTATGAACTATGTTATGCCGATTGAGCTAGATGTCCCCTGAGACCATGGTTCCCAGCCCTCAGCCCCAGTAACTTGGTCCCTCAAGGTGTCTGGGTGTGTCTAGGAAGTTTCTATGGCTTTGCCTTGGTCAAGTTGTTGAATATTTTAAATGCATTTTTTTGTAGTTGTCTAATGTGAGGGGTTTTATTTCAGATTTACAGATTCCAGTCTGCTGCTAGAAGATTATTCATCCAAGTTGAGTTCCAAAGCAAATAGAGCCAAAAAGAGCCTTCTTTCTGGAGAGGAGAAGGAGAATCTACCCAGCGACTACATGGTGCCCATTTTCTCAGGACGGTGCGGCACTTTCTCTTCCTGGGTTTGATTATTTGAAAGTGGGGAATGAATGTTGTCAGAGTAGATAATGATGATAAATAAATCATAATAACTAACATTTATTGAGCACTTACTATGTACTGGGCCCGGTACACATACTGTATGTCTAAGCAAGCCCAGAACCCTGCACTGAGCAGAGATGAGTTAATTATGAAAAGTGATCCTTTCAGAAATCTTCGCCATCACCCAGCATCACTACATAACAGAAAGGAATGATTAGAAACTTAATACTCCTTGTGGAATTAGTTGAAATTGGAAGTGGAGCATTCGAATGCTGGTGATTGAACAGTATACACAGTCATTGTAACTGGAGGAGAAAGAAAGATTTAAAACTCTAAAATGGTGGTGAACTGTAAAAAATTAGATGATTTGTTTAGGTAGGTGGAAAAGATCTTAGTTGTCAATGTGGTTTTAATTATTAAATCATTAATTATATAAATCAAACTTATATAACATAGTCTAAGTAAAATAATTACATCATAATTCAAATGCCTGGCTTATATTTGTTTACTGGAAAGAGATTGCTGTTTATTTTGAGGCAAACTTCAAACAAAATAATAAATCACAAGTTTAGGTAATGCCAATTTTCTGTGTTTATGATGTAAACTCTTTTTTTTTTGAATGGTATCAATATCCAAAGGAAACTTGTCAGAGGCACCAGGATAAGGATCAGCAGGGACTCTCAGGCCCTCTCCTGTTTATTTTCCTCGGCTTGGGAATTACTCACGTAGCTAAGGGGACACTCAGAATGAGGCCGCCCTGCCAGGGCAGATGCCATCAGGAAATGTCACGGGAAGGTCAATCCTGATTGAAAGTCAGTAGGACATAATGGGATTGTGATCTTTGGTGACATAACTCCATTGCCCTGTGTTTCTCCTCCCATTGTTCTCTGACTCTTGCTTTTTGAATTGTTTCAGAGGCTAATGTAATAATTGCTCTAGGATTAATTTGGGGCATAAAGGGGAGAAATGATATTCTATTTTTAGCTTTTTATTAGATATTTTTGATCGCTCTGATTTTCTAAAGTGGACTTTCCAGAGCAACATGTTTATATTTCTAATAGGATCGTGCAGACTTAGATGCTTCACAAAGTTAGCTTATATGTGCTCATATTCATTATAGGAGATGGCTAAGTTAGAAGAATAAAATATTATTATTTTCTGCTTTGTTTCCCTCTGTTTTAAAAAAATCATTTAAGAACCACATCAGCTTAGCATTAGCCAACATGCCTCTGCGCCTGTGTGGGCTTTGCACTCTTCGTGTCTTCTCCTGGATCTTTCCCCACCAAACCAACCATTCTGGCTCTTCCAGGCCAGTCTAAAGAAATGACAATTTACAAAATACCCTCTGATAAAATGTGAATGAAAATTGATCTTCTAGGTTTTATTTACAGTTCTCTTTTATTTTTTGTATGGACTCAATTTCATATGTTCTATTAAAAAAAACCAACACCAAATCCGTTGCCATCGACTCAATTCCAACTCATGTGACCCTATAGCAACCCTATAGGACAGAGCAGAACTGCCCCATAGGGTTTCCAGGAGTGCCTGGTGGATTCGAACTGCTGACCTTTTGGTTAGCAGCCGAACTGTTAACCACTACGCCACCAGGGTTTCTTATGTTCTATTACGGTGTAGAAAATAACACTTCACAATGGCATTGGCAGTATTAACAACCTAAGAAAAGGATGAGCAAGGAACTAACACCGCCCACAACAGGTTTGGAGTTGAGACTGTCAGTGATATTCAGAGTGCTAGGGAGGTTTATGTATTTATTTATTTTAACTTGTAGTAGTATACTTTTGTCAACATGTCACATCATATTCTTGCTCTGTGCTCACATTATAGAAGAGTTACTAATGACATATGTTTATATTTACTTAAAGGAAAATATAATTGCTATCTTGGGTCCAACAGATATGTTTAAAAATGTACTCAGGTTCTCATGTGAAATACATATAGTTTCGAGGTTCACGTACTCGTAAATAGAAAAGGCAAGGAGGTCGTGAATCCCTCCTGCCCTCTAGAGCTATGCCAACATATCCATTGTTGGAAGTAGTGTGAGGTTAGACTTAAAGTTCTCATACTTAGGGTTGTCTCAGCTCGGGGCGAGACTAGCACTGAATATGATTAGTTATTGTACATATTGAATCATATTCCAAAGCTCATTTCACATCTCTCTATATATTGTATGTTGACCTCTATAGAGAATTCCAAACAAGTTCTCACAATGGTTTATTTTGTATTCATTCATTCATTAATTTATTTCCTGTTGCATTCCAAAAAAAAAAAAAAAAAAGATTAGAGCTAGTTATGTTAGGACACTAAGCTAAAAACCTCCCATCTTACCTTTTTAGTTTTTCTAAATTGAATAGTGAATAGATTACTGATTTCATTAGTAGGGACTTCCTTATTAATATTTGGAGAGACAAATGTAAGGAGAAAGAAATTGAAATTTACTCACTAAATTTAGTAAGAAATAAAGTTGACTCATCTTGTCTACCCGCTGTTCTAGTAATATGCCATTGGAAATTCCAGTCTTGTAGCAAATATTGAATCCTATTCATCATCAAAATGCCAGGCATTTGCATATACAGTGGCTGTATTTGCTTAAGTTTTTAAGCACTCTTCTCTAAGAAAAGCAAATGTACAATTCTGCTTTAAGAGATCTGAGGAGACTCCGAATTTCAAGAGAAAGTACAATCAATACACTCCCCTACTGAACCATCTGATAGGGTTCGCAACAAAGGAGATTAACAATAATCTAAGTGTTTTTAACACATTAACAAATCATGGTACAAATTCTGTAATAAACTACTACTTCAGGGGACAACACTTTTAGATGTTACCTCCTGTCTCTCCCTTGCCATCATCATCAATTACTAATAAAGACAGATCACTTTTATAAATGTTACCACTTTGAATGCAAGCTTGACTATTTCTTCTTATCATAGCTATATGCAAATACAAAGATTGTTATATATACACTCACACACACACACAACATACACACAACCTTTGTTATCTTCTGAAGAAACACAGGAAGCAGAAGGACCTCGTGGAAATTTGAAACTTATTTTTATATGCAACACTCTGGGCAATGCAGTACATCTGCTGGATTATAGAATCCAGGTCAAGCACACGGTCATATATCAGGATTACAGGCTTTAAAGCACAAAAACTCTCTCTCATTTTACAATATCGTCTTTTCTAGAAAGGTAGTCATAATTTTAATCTCTTATTGTAAACTAAATCGTATTTAAATGCACTAAGCAAACCAGTACAGTGACCTTCGGCCAGTTATGTAACTTCTCTGAATCTTGTTACCATATATGTAAAATAAAAATGATACAGTTTACCTCAGGAGACTGTTGTGAGCGTTAAATGAGATAACTGTCCGATCTGGCGGCTAGCAACAGCAACAACCTGTAAAAAGCACTTAGCACAGCACCAGTGACATAATAGGTATTATTATTGTTGTTATATTATTATTATCATTGTTAACATGAAGACTACTTTTGCATGTGAAGAGTTAGCTCCTGATCTACCAGGTTTTTCTGTCAGGTTTTGTTTGGGCAGAGTATACTGTGTTGGAGGTCTGGTACATTGAACTTGCTAAAACAAGGCAATCTTATCACTGCCATCCACAATATCCATATTTTGCTGTTATTATGTTTTAGCCAAGTGCATGTCAGTGGAATTACAGATACGGAGGAAGAAAGAATTAAAGAAGCTGCTGCATATATAGCCCAGAGGAAACTTCTTGCTAGCGAAGAAGGAATCACGACAGCAAAACAGTCAACCGCATCCAAACAGTCCATGGTATCCAAACAGTCCACATCCACTCTTCAACAGGAGAAAGCTGTTGAGAAGAAGTCAAGGAAAGTTGCAATTCGAGAAAAGGCAGAACACCTGTCGCTGAGAAAAACAGTAAGAAAAGACACGTTAATATAACTTACAAAAATGGAAAGGCATGGAACAGGTTGTGTGTGTGTGTGTGTGTGTGTGTGTAGACATAGATTTATTTGTTTCAAGTTAAGAAATAGGTGGTTTTGTGGAGAAGCAAAACCAAACAAGGAGAACAGACATTAAAATGTATCGGTCAGAGAAAGAGAAACCTAATAGTTTTAGACTCCATAGCGTATGATTTAAAGAACCTTAAGAAACATTGCTCAAGCTTAGAATGTGAAGAGTTAAATAATTCCATATGTTTTAAAAAGGGAAGAGGGGGATTGCATGTTATCTAAATACAAAAATAAGGCTCTAGATGGAGAAATAAGTTTGGCTTATACTTGTTTATGCTCTTGGCTGCTAACCAAAAGTTGCCAGTTTGAACTCACCCAGCGACTCTACAAGAGAAAGACCTGGCGATCGGCTTCTGTAAAGATTACAGCCAAAAAAACCCCTATGAGGCAGTTCTGCTCTGTCACATATAATCGCTATGAGTTGGAATTGACTTTATAGCACTCAACAACGTTTAAGTAGCACAGATCACTTTGGTTTAGTAATATTGTGATAATATTTTTTTTCCAGTTAGAAGAAACCGAGGCATATCATAAAAAGTTGAATGAAGATAGTCTTCTTCATGCTCCTGAGTTCAACATTAAACCTCGTTCGCACACTGTGTGGGAGAAAGAGAGTGTCAAACTGCACTGCTCCGTATCAGGCTGGCCAGAACCTCGTCTCACATGGTATGTTAGCTTTATGAGAACTATTTATAGAATTGATTCCACGAAGTTAAGTTTCCCTGTAGTGAAAATGTACAGGATTATCAATGTGCAGGTGGCAAGGAAGGTGTCTACAATTTTGTACAGATTTTCAAAAGAATTAAAAAAGGATACTGGGATGAACATTTTATGCATGGGAAGAAAGAACAGTCTTGCATATATTTTGATACATTATGACATTTTATAATCCTATCATACAGGTCGGTCTTTATCTTATATAAAGTGTTAAAATTTAGTCAACATATTTACAAAGAAAATTATGTCTATAACTGCGATGGATCATAAAAATTAAATAAAAATTTGCTTCCATTAGTGAACTTTACAATATAGGTATCATTTTGTGAGTGGAAGCAATGCTGCCTTTTTAAAAATAACTAAAATCCAAACCAAACCAACAGCTGTCAAGTCGATTCCCACTCATAGCAACCCCATAGGACAGAGTAGAACTGCCCCATAGGGTTTCCATGAACACCTGATGGATTCGAACTGCCAACCTTTCCGTTAGCAGCCAAATGCTTGTCCACTGCACCACCAGGGCTTTTCCTGAATAGAAGGAGATAAATTAAAGGAATTAGTTTGTGATGATGCTTCCTTCATTCATGCCGTCTCCCCTCTAGCAATCAAGCCTTAATCACATCTTTCAAAGACGCTTATGCCTGGGGCTGTGGGTCTCCCCTAGAGTCCTTTCCAAAGAAGGTTTGACTCCAGGTTTCCACTAGGCATCCTCAGGTCATCAAAGTCCCTGAGGTCTAACAAATGAAATGAACACGCAGCAACTGCTCTCCGGCCAATCCCACATTACTGACCCAATCTTTTTAAACAGAACCTAGGGTTACCCTTCAGTCTAAGTGACCACAGCACACATCACTCATCACTGCCAGGTGCAGAAACAGCTGAGGGGCACAATCCTGTTCCCAGCCCTCTTTGAGAGCAGAAGGAAGCCTGTTTTGGGACTGGGTTCAGTAGGAACGTTAGCTGCAGAGGATGCTGCTGTAACAACACGGTGCAGCAGGCCATCCTGAAGGAGGCCTTTGTCAACATAAATAAAGTAATAATAATAACAGTTGCTGTCAAGTTGATTCCAACTCATTGCGACCCCATGTTTATCAGAGTAGAAATGTGCACCGTAGGGTTTCCAATGGCCAATTTTTTGGAAATAGATCACCAGGCATTTCTTCTGAGGCACCACTGGGTGGACTCAAACTTCCAACCTTTTGGTTAGCAGCCATGCACGTTAACCGTTTGCACCACCCAGGGAATCCTTTGTCAATATAGAAGAGAAAATATGTACGTAGTGAAAAACCAAGTTTTTTTACTCAATGGGCTATATGTATATGATAACTTGTATAATAGGTTATACTTGGTTTTTAAAGGGAGGAAAAAGAATTTATGTTTGTATTTTTTTTATGTGCATAACAAAACTCTGAAAGGATGCATAAGAATCTAAGGAAAGCAGTTGACTATGAGGAGGAGCTGGATAGAAGGAAGTGTATTATCTAGTCACATTTTTTAAGTTGTATGAAATAGGGAACAAGAGAAAAGTTGTCTTTAGAAGAAGGAGAGAATTGTGTTAATTTTACACTTTCTAAAAGAGCTAGATTTAACTGGATTTCCGCTCTGAAACCTAGATCAATTTTGACAGGCATTATTTGTTAATAGGAAAAAAAAAAAAATCAAGCCTTTTTTCTTGATCATACTTTACACTACCAAAGATCTTCACTATAACCGCTTATTATTAACATCAGCCCACTATCCACTGGCATTTGTATGGGTAATGAAGTATGTGTTTTATATACATACATGAAAAGTCACTGGGTGTCAGGGTATTATTCTAGAAATACTTAGAGTATAATGAAAGTTCGTTAACTAATATATTTTATAGACTTTACATGAAAATGATAAGGAAAATGGTGTACATCTGCGTATTCACAAGGATTTAAGAAACATTTTGACAATTAATCCCAGGGTGTGGGTTACTCTCCAAAGTTAGCCAGTGACTGGATGGTTTGGAATTTCACTTTCCAGAAATAACAAGCTGTGAAGTATATACAGAGTGCCCCCAAAATCCTGCTTTTCTTCACTGACTTACTACAGAGGACAGCCAATGTAAAGTGACCCAAACCAGAAGGTCTCATTAGGAAAAATTCCTCGAAGAACGTCATTGAATTGGCTTCTGACTTAATCCTTGTCCACTGCTTTAAAACAGGAGTTCCCCTAGGAAAGACTAGCAGCGCCTCAGTGAAAGCATTATCTGTTTTTGTGTGTGTGTGTGTGTGTGTGTGTGTGTGTGTGTGTGTGTGAATATTTTAAAATGATTTAATTTACCAGCTGGTCACATTAAAACAGTCGTGAACGTTTAGTTGAGGGGGAGGAATTGAGGTGCTAAATTACGGGAACTGGAAAGCAAGACGGGTGAAGTAACACCAGGAGCTGCAAAATGCTGTTTTAACTCATAGTTTATGGAGATGAACCACATTTTTGGTCAGAAGTCAAACTGAGTGCCACCCAGTTGCTTTGTCAAGTGGCACATTCTGCAGCCTTTAGTGTCATATTTCTATTCTGATGCTAAAAAAACTGCTGAAAATACTCCAGCATGTGGAAAACACTGGACAAGAGGGAGCTTTCGAGTCAAGTGTGAAGCGGCCTAACCCAGTTCAATCAGAAGAACATGCCGACATCGTGTTCTGCCCTGTCATTCATCCAGACAAGGAATGTCAGGAATGAGGAGTGGCTGGTGGATTTCTTTCTATGGGGCATCTCTAATCAAAGTCCTGGCTGCCTGGGGCCGAGGCTGATACAGCTGTCTGAGGCCACTCCTGGGCTGCGAGGCAGCAGCCCGAGGGCAATTAGCAATGTCTTCTGCCGGTGGAGAAGACTTTACTGCTGCTCCTTCCACACATTTCTATTCCTGAGCAGCCCAGCCCGCAAATGTTACATTTTACACCTGAGGGACCTGAGACCCAGAGAGCCTCAGCTTAATCTCTTCATGTGCACTTATTTAAAGTCACCCATATCATAAAGTAAATAGTGTAGCCCTGGGGGTGTAGCGGTTAAGTGTTTGGCTGCTAACCAAAAGATTGGCAGTTCGAATCCCCCAGGTGCTCCTTCGAAACCCTGTGGGACAGTTCTGTCCTGTAGGGTCGCTATGAGTTGGAATCGACTCGACAGCAATGAAAAAAAATCATGAAGTATATGTTTGTCAGAACTCTATTCCTTTAGCCAAAACATTATGAAGTTTTAATTAATCTGTTGCATTACACAATAATTCCATTCAGTCCAATTTAAAAAACACTGTACACTTAATGTTTGCCCATGACTCATACTTCCTTGGCAGTGGGAATAGAAGTAAATATGGATAAAACTTCATCCACAGTTTTTAGGGCACTGACAGCTTAGTAGAAGAGACACACATCCAACCATAATTTGGTAAATGCTGTATCTAGCTGGAGCCCTAGTGGCTCAGTGGTTAAGAGCTACGGCTGCTAACCAAAAAATCAGCAGTTCTAATCCATTAGCCACTCCTTGGAAATCCTATGGGGCAGTTCTACTCTGTCTTATGGGGTTGCTGTGAGTTGGAATTCACTCGACAGCAGTGGGAGCAGGTTGTATCTAGCTATTCGAACTGATGCACAAAGGCAGGAACAATTAACACTGTGTGGGATTTTAAGGAGAAGTTTGTTAAAGAAGTGGCATTTCAGCTGAGCCTTGAAGGATGAGTTGGGATTTTGCTATGTGGACAAGAACAGTTACGCGTTAAAAAAAAATTGTAGAAAATGAATAATGTGTTTTAGGGACATAAGGTGTGTTATATTGTGTATATGTGTATGTCAGTTAGGGAGAGGAAGGAATTTACTAAAGGTGAAACTAGAAACACCATTTGAGGTCAAATCAGAAAGGATTATACTGAACTTCTTGGATAGTATCCTGGAAATACTGGGAATGACTGAAAGATTTTATGCAAGTCGGTGGCATCATTAGTATAGCACCAGCAGTTGCAGCAAAGGGGAAGGGACCCCGGAGATCATGTTGTCATTTGAAAGTCTCAGAAACAAGCCCAAAGACAGGAAATGACTCTTCTGGGCACTGTTAGCATGCCAGAGGCAGCACCTCAAACTAGAGTTCAAGACATCTTGTCTCTCAGGACTAGTTTCTCTAACTTACACTTTCTTATCCTCTCTTTCTCTCCCTGTCCACCAGTTTCCCTGCCCCTACACCTCCTTGCAATCATTTCCAAAGTCTGAAGAAGTAAAATGCAGCTACACAGAGAACAGCTGGGCAGTGGTAGCCTGATATATGTCAGGGGCCAGACTGCCTGGGTTCAAATCCTGGCCCTGTTCTTCCTAGCTGTGTGACCTTGGGCAGGCAACTTAATCTCTCCATGCCTTATTTTCTTCATCTGGAAAATGATTTTAAAAATAGTGCTGCCTCAAAGGTCATTGTGAGGATCGAATCTGTTACTATGTACACAGAGCACTGAGAATGCTACCTGGCCATAGTGAATGCTCTGCGAGTGTCACTGTGGTTATTTTTATTGTTTATATTTTCTGTACATGTTAAGTAGAGTATCTGGAAGGGGAGCAAGTGAACTCTAGCTCCTTTTAGGGCAGAAAATGACTCAGGTAATGTCTTAGGTGGATTCTCTAGAGGAGCAAGACCAGTGAGATTTATTTCAAGGAAGTGGTTTATGCCAAATTCACAGGTCAGGCGGCAGGCTGGAGACTTCTGCTGGTTCATGGGATTGCGGGGGCTGGTGAATCCAAAATCTGTAGGTCAAGTGGCAGATCTTGGGACTTCTGCGGGCTTACGTCCCAAGATCTGGAGGTCAGGCAGGGTTGAGAGAGAGCAAGCTCTGCCAGAGTATCCATTTATATTCTGGAGGCAGACCACACCCCCAGGGGAACTCTCCTTTCAACTGATTGGTTGATCACATCATAGATGGTGATTACATTACATTACATTACATT